CATCTTATTTGAGTCTTTTAAGACCAGTGACATTAAGACATCAATTTTGGTGTGTTGATTGTGGGAGTAGTTCGCTGTGTACTTGGACAAGAGGTGTACTTATCTTTGATAACTATGGCGAAGAAGTATTTAAAGGGGTATAAGGACTCTCTTGTGCTTTGTTTTCCAGGAAAAACTCTTGCATAGAAGTTGTCTAAATGTATACAAATACATTTTCCTTAAATCCTCCATTTTACTTTCTTTCCTGAGGCAGTATATTATAAAAAAAAAAACCTAATGTAAATACAGGTTTTTAATAAAATATATACATTTATATGTGTACTATAGGTATATATGATGTGGTGTGTAGTGGTATATATACAATACATATTTATAATAGTTACACACTATGAATGAAAACAGTTGTCGCAGACTGAACAGGAATACCCCCAAATAGAGGAACCAATTCCAAATAGTAGTGTTGCATGACTGCACCTTCATCAGCTTCTACTAACTTGTCACCTGTGTGCCTTAGGAAAAAGAGATTGTGTGATTACTGTGAAGAACTAAGTCATTAGAGACTAGGACAAGAATTAGGGTGGGAGATCTCAAGACATTCCTGATAGTCAAGGTGGGCTTGGTGGCTCAGGGGCATTGAGATCATTCATGGAATAAAACCATTTCATGTTGTGATGTCTTCAAAGTTTGTGTTATAATATTTCAGTAGAATTGTAACATTTTGAGTCTTTTCTGTATAATGACTTTATTATTTTACAACAAGGAAAAACACCTGTGAATGTTATTTTAATGAATTAGCTACACGAGAATATAGAGATCTCTATACGGGAACATAGAGTTTCCAGCTCAGGCTCCTGAACCACAGGATCCTCAGACGTGATGGTGTGAGAGTGTGATGGTTCTCTAGGCATTTTTTGGAACTTCAAAGCTTAATGGAAATTGCACATTTACCTGCAATTTGGCCACAAAGTCTGTTATTGAATAAATGGAATTTGGCTTATTAATTCTCTCTCTATCATCGGGTCCATGAGACCCAGTTTTAATTTTAAGTTTTGAGTTTCTTTTGAGGCAGCTCTTACTATTGTTCCTCCCTGCCCTTGTATGCAAGTGACTTCATGATCTGACTCTGGGCTTTTGTGAATTTCTCACAGGTGAGTCAGGTTGTCGGGTTCTGAAACCATAATCAGGGTTTATGTCTTTGCTCACCCCCAGCCATCATGCCCAGCTGCTTCTTGCCACCTTCTTAAGCATGTCATTCTCATGAACTTTCCATATGTGCTCAGGAACACATGATGTACAAATGTAGGAAACTACCTGGTGTGAAATAAGAGATGTTTCAGTTATCTTAAAGGAATAGCTTAAGTTCAGGTTTCTTCTTGATTTTCCTAATGAATTCGTTTGTTCTTTTTTCTTCTAGATATTGAAAGGTATAGTAAAGATATATTGAGGTCTACAAAGAAGAATGGATACCAGGTAATTACACAACAGACAATATAAAAATACCTCTTAAAGGCTAGCACCCTACCCATATTATATATTTTTACCCCTATATATATTTTTAGATGTTTTCATTATATTTCACCATAGGAAACCAAATCTGTGTATTTTCTTGTAATTAGTTAGTAATGTCCATCTTTGGGAAACAAAATGAAAAGATTTTACACTTTAACAAGGAAGAGTTGAGTATTTGTGGAAGTTCTTAAAATATGTTTGAAATGACTTGCCAAATCCTTTAAGCTTTCTGGTTTCTTAGCCACCGTCACGATTTTAATTGCTAGTACCAAAAAGCACTTACTTGTTAGCTCCTAAGTGATTTAGAGCTTCTGAGGAGAAGTAAAAAATCTAGTTTTAGGAATATTTTAAGGATAATGATAAGCCAAGCTCATGGATCTTCCTTTTTTTCAACAGACTGGACTATTTTTTAGTTGTTAAAGATGCTTTTAACAGAACCATACCTAAGAGAGTTTTGTTGTTCAGCATTTTACCTTCAATATGGACAAGGTAGAAGGGCTACAGCAGTCTCATCCAGCTTATTCATTTTGTAAATAAAAAATAGCAGTCAATTAGAACCCAGGTCTCATTTTTAATTGACCACTTTCCTTTTATGTTTTATCTTTGATATTTATAGAAACTGCCTTTTGTAAAGCTAAATGTGATTAACAGCATTGTCTTTTCACAGGTTATAGTACTCTGTCTTTCATTGTTGATCATTGATAAGCTGGGAACACCTGGGAACACTCTTTAGTTCTTCTATGTTATTTCTTCATTAATCTCCCAATGATTCTTTACATACTCTTCTCATAATCTTCTATAATCTTCAATGAGTAGTTTATAAAAACTAAAATATATTCAAAACAAAATTTATTAGTTCAGGTAAAATGGAGATTAAAATGTTTTGTACAAATGCACTGAAATTTCTTTATTGAGCAGGCAGTATTTTTTAATCTAATTTTATGTTGCTTCAATTTTCTGCTTAACTGCTTAAAAATTAGAAGAAAGTGAAAAATTAGAGGAATTCTTTGGGTAGTACACACAAATTTATTCGAGGGAATTTATTTCTCCACAGCTACTTATATTTTCAATCTTTAAGTTTTCAGATAGTTATTAGAAATGTTTCATTTTGCCTGGGTACGATTGTGGTCTCATACTTTAACTTTTGAGAAAAAATTCTTTATTACAAAAGAAATACCTATCAACTATAGAAAACTTACAAAATACAAAGTAGTCAAATAAATAAATAAGAAAAACAGTTATACTCCTAACACCCATGAAGAATTACTGTAAGATTTTGTTCCTAACAAATTTTATAGTGCTATTTCAAAGCTATTTTAATGAACTGATTTTCTTTATAAGAGGAAATATATCACCATTATATTTTATTATATTTCAGGCTGAATGCATACAGTCAGATACTAAGAAATGTTATTGTCATTGGTTGGACAACTGTCTTTGTGTTCCTTAAATAGTTATATCCAGTGCCACTGATTCCTAGAGGAATCTGCAATTTTTATATTTTTCCTTTATACACATAGATTGGAGAAGACTTCCAAGAGAGTTGATGCCAAGGAAAAAATGCAAAAAAGGTACATTGAATAATGTAATAGTAATTCAGGTAGGAAAAGGTTATTGCTTACATTTTATTAATATGGAAATGGCAAGCTGAATTTATGCTCACTGTTCTGAATGCTTTTTCTTAAAATATTTTGGCATTTTGATTATTTTGCTGAAGCTTGGAGTTTTCTGTTGATTTTTAAGGTTTTTTGTTTGCTTGTTTAGTTGTCCTTTCTTTAATTATGGAATTGTAGATGTACTAGGAAAGACTTTTCAATTATGTAGATCGTTTTATTTGCATATGTGCAAATTTCTTATGATTACACTTGCCACATTCTAAGTTATTAATTAAAACATTTTAAAATTGGGAAACTGGCATAATAGAGCTTTATATTGTATAGAAAAATAGCAAAGTGAATGTTTACATTTTATTTTTCTTTAGTAATTCCATTAAGTAAATAGTTGCCTATCTACTATTGTCAGACACTGCGCTGAGAGGAATAAAACAGTGGGCAAAGTGGGAATAATCCTTGCTCTCAGGGAGCTTGCAGCCACATGCAGTAAAAACATTAAGCAAAAACATTGTCCTTATTAGGAGGTCTAGGAGGGGTTCTTTGAGGACTGGAATTGGAGTTAAGCTTGAAGGATTACTAAGAATTTATTAGAATGAGGTGGGATGAGGGAAATTAGAGAAAGACCAGGTTTGTCAGGGAAAATCATGAGTTCAGTTTAAGGGTATTTAGGATTCCTTTGAGATTTACAAATAGAAATGTTGAATATGTTGTTGGATACTGGGAAAGGACCTCAAAATGGAGATGGTAGTCATCGGCAGAGATTCGAACATTGAAGCCATGAGAAAGGGTGAGACTGTCTAGGGTGGAATTAGAGAATTAGAAGAAAGGAGGGGGCCGGGCGAGGTGGCTCACACCTGTAATCCTAGCACTCTGGGGGCTGAGGCGGGGCGGATTGCTAAGTCAGGAGTTTCAAAAAAAAAAATCCAGCCCTGAGCGAGCCCCGGTCTGGCTTGACTATAAAGAATAGGAAGGAAATTATGCCAATGAATATATATATAAATTTTAGCGGATTCCGTGGGCGCTTGACTGTGGCGTCCCGCGTACTCAGAAGGCTGGAGGCAGGAGGATTGGCTTGAGCCCAGAGTCTTAGGCGGTTGCTGGTGAGCTGGCTGAGCCACGGCATCACTCTGCCTGGGGCACAAAGCAAGGACTCTGTCCAAAAAAAGAAAGGAGGGCCCCAGCCTAAGCTTGGAGGAATGCCAATATGTAATGGGCTGGTAGAGGAGATTGAATCAGCCAAGAAAGGAAGTATTAAGAGAGAGGAAGGAGGAGAACCAGAAGAGTGTAGTTACAGAAGCAGGAGTATTCACAAGGGAAGAGTATTTGAGAAGGCCGTCAGCAGTGCTGCTGAGAGGATCAAGTAAGATGAAGATTGAAAAATGTTAAGTTTTTGACATGTCGATAATTGGTGACTTCAGTGAGAGCTTTTAAAAAGATTTGTGGAAGTAGAATCCAGATCAGAATGGGTTAAACAGTATATAGAAGTTTAGGAAATGGAGACAGCTAGCATAGATAAGTCTTTAGAGAATTTTGCTGTGAAGAATGAAGAGAGAGGAAGTATCCAGAAAGGTTAAGAAGAATGGGGTTAGCAAGAAAAAATTCCACTCCCCCTTTTAACAGCTTTATTGAGGTATAATTGATATGCAATAATATGCACATATTTGAAGTACATATACAATTTAAGTTTGTACATATACATTTAATGTGGAAGTATTTTATTTTATTACAGTATATATATATATGTAGCTTGAATATAGAATATTTTGAGATATGACAGTTTATCTCTTTTATACGCTTGTTTTGTATTGGGTAAATGCATTATTTTCATAATAAAATGCATGTACATGAATGATATTGGTCATATCCTAGGGGATCACAGATCTGTAGCTGACTTTAAAGCTAAAAAGAATGTATTAATTCTGGAAGCATTATGTTTTCAAATATATCCCATGTACCACTCATCCACACATTAATCATTGGTAAAATCTTCCAGTGCATCAGGATTGCCATTTGTTAGAAACAAAACAACAACAGAACTTTCTTTTTCCATTCTGCCCTAATGTTTTTTATTGTATATTGTGTAATTTTTGTGTTTTGTTTCTGATAAAAGCCTGTTCTCTCTCTTTTGTTGAGATGGCCTCCATTGATTTACATAAATGTAAACAATACGGAGAGTCAAAGGTTGGAGATGGGTTGTTTCTTGAAGAACCAGCTGTAGGCAGGTGTTGAAAGAAACAAACAAAAAAATCACATATATGCAGATATTCGGCTAAAGATGCAAAAAGTGCATCTTAAAATTTTAAGGTTAAAACAACTCTCATCAATTTTGATAATTTGACACTTCTCCCCTGATTATACATATAAAGATAGACAATGTGTAAAACCAGAATGATAAGTAGCAAAGAATGCTGAATGGACTTGACTGAGTCTTCAACTGACCTTTTTAGCTAAAAATTTAGTAAATTTTAGTAAGTTTATTTACCTGACCATATTCTGTAGTATCCAATTAACAGACTTACGTGTTATGAAATTAAGGAGCTTGATAAAAAGTCCACAGAGAAAAAAATTTCATGATGTGAATAAAATATATTCTTCACTACTGTTTTTGGCATCAAAACAGTAGTGATGTATTGAGGTCTTGTTCATATATGATGCTTTGTTTTATGTGCTACAGTCCACATTAAACAGTCTTTGCCCTCAGGGGGATCAGAGAAAGTTACCATCGTTAAATCTAATGGGTTACTTTTGTTTGAGCAAAACCTCACTAATCTATGTTTGGCAGCTCTCAGCTCAGTAACTGTCCAAGGGGCAGTCTGGTATATCACAGTACATTGTAATTCCATCAGTTACGGGTCATCCACCACAAACTAAAAATTTCTTCTTCTGTAGGTTAAATGTTAATCTTTAACAAAATTACATCTTTCTGAGCTGTATTTTCCTCTTACCTAAATTTCTAGGTATTTAGTTTGATTTTGGAAAGAACTGTAATAGTTTCTGATCACAATAGGACAATTTGGTAGCGTATCATAGTGCTTTGGTAACTCACTGGCAGAAGCTATATGTGAAATAAGACCTGCAGTTTTTCTAGACCCTGCAGTTTCAGAAGAGCCTCAAAATGCAGTATTTTTTTATATGAGTTAAAAAAATTTATATATCCAAAAGCTATTAAAACATTGTATTTCATTTATATGCTTTGAGTTTTCAGATTCACATGATGGGTGTGTTTAGGTTAACTGTTTTTATCATTTCAAAGACAGTTATGTGTTGCACTGGATGTGACTTCTTTCTCATCTCTTTCACCATTGGCAAGTGCATATTTCTCCTGCACTTTTTTTTAATTTTCCAAACCTGGTAAAATTGCTTTTTGCTTAAAGTGAAGTACACTCATCAGTGACTAGGAAGTGAATGCAGATAGATTTGTGGGAACCTTTCCCTGTACCCTAATGTTTCTACCTGAGATAGCATTTTAGCAATTTTGGCCTTAATATTAATTACCAGTACAGATTTTCAATACTGGTAAAAATATATCTGGTTGCAGTCTTATAAATTATACTAATAAGTGACTGTCATTTGTTCCTCATCACTGAGAAATTGGTGACAGGTGATGATTTGTTTTATTTATTCTTTGAGAAAATTAATTTGCTCTGGAAATTATGTGACTGCCTACTCTGACATACCACTATGTGAAACAGCGTATGAAAAGACAAGGAAATATAATACACAGTTGCCATTACAGGAAAACGTGTTAACTGGTAGTTTTACTTCAGCAGGCCCAAAATCCATACAGGCAAAAGATACAGGCAAAGGCACTCCTCTCACTAACACTGCAGATGTGTTGAAAAAAATCGAGGTAAGATTTTCAATTCTTACTACAAAAGTGGACTGACAAAATATAAAAGGTCATACCTCCTTTTGCCTTCTTATTTCAACCTCTCAGCCTTCTTTCCCTTTTTAATGACATATGGGTTTGGCAGAAGTGAGCCTCGCACAGAGGCTAGTTAGGAAGGTTTGAACTTTGTTAGCTGGGAGAGGTGGAGGTTCCATCCTGTCCTTTGCCACTCATTTGGCCACTTGCCTCACCTTCTGCCACCTGCTTGCTTTTCCACTGTATCCCATTACTCTTGTATTTGGATTATGCAGAGGGAAGGAAACATGAAAAACTCTTTTACAAAACTCTTTTATATAACTCATATGTAAAAGAATTACATATGTAATTCTTTTATAAAACCTCTTATCTTTCCCTCTGTTGGTGTATATATTATATATGTATTTATTTAATGCTTTTTTCCCCCCTGTGTCTTATGTTACCTATAGAAGACTCTATTGAGGGAAAACTCTATTGTATGGAACTCATTTTTGTATCTTTCCTTATTTCAATATTCCAAAAATAAGAAGATACAAAATTCATAAGGTTAATACACTGAAAATTCGTCATCCCATTCTTGTCTGCAGCCATTTAGTTTTTTTCCTGTGGACAACCAGTGTTACCAGTTTCTTATATATCTTTTCATAAATATTTCATGCATAGAAAATACAGATTTGGGGTATTTTTTTTAATGACAAAAGTTAGCATGTTATACACTCTTCTGTGTTTTCATTTTGTCACTTAACAAAATATCTTGGGGATGTCCATATCAGTGTGAATAGAGTTACCTCATTCTTTCTTTGGCTGCACTATAAGAATGAACTATAATTTATTTAATTAATGCCCTACCAATGGACATTATGTTTCATCTAGTGTTTCTCTATTATAAATGATGCTGCAATAAATTTGTGTTAATTATGTGATTTTACATTTGTAGAGTAGATTTCTAGAAGTATTTGTTGGGTCAGTTGTTATGTGTACTATTAACTGTTGCTACATTGCTCTCCATGGAGGCAATACCAATTTACTGTCACTATCAATGCACGTATCATCTTGCATTGATGATGATGATGATGATGATGGTGGTGGTCATGATAGCAGCCAACACTTCTTGTCAGTTTATTCTGTGCCACGCTTTTTGTTGAGCTCTTTATATCCATTATGTCCTTAAGAGTTCTTAACAACAAAGAGAGGTGGGGATTATTCCTTACTTATATATGAGGAAGTCAAGGCTTTAAAACTTTTATTAATATTTGCCTGGCCAAGTTAGCACAGCTACTTGATGGCAGAAACTCATATTTTTGTTATTTTATTTTTTGTCCGGTACTTGAGCTGGGAATAATATATCTGAAAATTAAGGCCAGAGGATTGATGAAGGAATAGTGGTAACTGTCAGGTTTAACTGTGCTGGAATGCAGGACTAGCCTACTTGTATGGATTGAACACAGGATCTGGCTGTTCTTGAAGCTTCCTGGAGAAAAGTGGCTAAGATGACATGTGCTGTCAGGAAGATTGACCTGGACCACTGGGTGTGGTTTCTCCTCAGAACAAGTTGTGTTTCCTTATTCCCTACATTTAAACACTTTTTTCAGGGCATACACTATTAGAATTGGAATTTTAAATCTAGAATTCCCAAGGAGTTAGCAGATTTAATAGAGCAAAAGTTGTTTCCAGATGACTCTGTTATCATTCATTTCTTCAGCAAAAGCAGTTATAGTTTTTATTATAATAGAACATCTGTGGATGGCGAGGGAGTGACATATGGTCAAATCTCATGCTTAATGTGTCAGTAATCAGTAAACTAATATTTGAGCTTGTTATTTCTGCATGACATACAGGAGGCTCTATATGGTTGACTGTATAATATTTAAACTAGTAGAACAGTTCTCTGTACATAAATGGACTGTTTCTAAAGTGTTTTTGTATCATATTATTCATTTTATTCTTAAAACAAATCTGTAAAATAGTAAGGTTAGGTAAGTTTCATCTCACAGAAGTAAAAATGGAGAATACTAAGTAGAAGAGCAGAAACTAGTAGCTTTCAACACAAAAGGAATGAAATCATGAGACAGTGTGGCTCTGAGATCATTTTTTATAAGAAAGCTGCATAAATCTGCTATTCCTCTACCTATTTAAGTAGTTTCTGAGTTTGATTTAGGTCCATGTGGTAGAAATAAAGATGGGGTTATTTATTTAAAGATATTTGAGGTGGCAATAAGAGAAATGTAGACTTCCTAGTCCCTATGTAACATGGAATGAATTCCATGTTTAAAAAATATTTTTACATAACTGGTTTAAATAATTATTTTGCAAATTATGAAATAATGTTAATAGGTGATTTTTTTCAGGTATATCTCTCTTGCACAGAGTTAAATACATATAGTACTATAACTCTCTTTCAACTACACAAACTTATGAGTCGTAGGTCTTTTCATTGTCTGATTATAATAGAAAAGAAAAAATACCATATTAATATAGCATCATATACATGTGTATCTATCTAATTATAGATGCTTCAAAAGATCTGTGAACACTATTTGTTTACTTGCAGTTTTCCAAAGGGATTGCCAGTTGGAAAACTTGCACACATTGTATTGTAGTATTAAATCATATAAGGCAACATATAGGTCAGTATCAATATAAATCATCTCACGACTATATTCGGCATGAATGGGTTAAGCAGACACAAAACGTGGAGTTTGAATTTTGATGAGAAATTGAGTCTATCTGATGTAGTTTCTCTATTGCCTTTGATTTCTTTAAATTCAAATTTGAATGTAATTAAAAGGATTTTTAAAGATAAATATTTAAGAACTAATAAAGGATTAGCTAAGATATAGCCACCACAGACACAAAATGTTTTCTCCCCATATGTAATCTACAAAGCAAATATAATAGAGTATTTGCAGATTCATGAATTAGTGTTCTGATTACTGTTTAGGAATAATCACATCTTAGCTAACATAATCTTACGCCTTAATTATGAATATTAACATGTGAAATTATTACTATACCCACATCCTAGAAAACTTAGAAAATTCTGTCATTTATGAACATTGAGCATAGTGCAATTTAGTGAACAGATAGTAACAGTTAATGAAAATAGATCACTTTTTAGCAAATGAAAAAAATTGTTGGTGGTCATAATAGAAATATAAAGATGTATTTGTACACTATGAGATGGTGTCATAATGATTTTAACAGGGTGGATAAGTGGACCCATCATGGAACCAAAGCTTTTCTAACTCTGCATTTCTCTTTTGTCTTATCTTTTAGAGTTTCTAATAGTGTTGATTGTGATTTGAATTTTAATTTCTTTCTTTCTTCCCAACCTGCCAGATATATTAAGAAGCAAAAATTTCTGGTAATGGAAAGTAAATAATGAGTGAGAAAAGAGATAAAGACATGGATAATCTGCAACTAGGATAATTATTCCAGGATGACTTGATATTAATAGTTTTAAATGATCCTACTTTAAAACATAGACATTGAAAGGTTACTATTACATTCTTTTTTCTCCTTTTATGTTAGAAGGAAAACAAAATATCATTCTGAAAGTTCTAAATCACCTCAGACATTTTAGAAGGAGGTAGGAGAGAAATTATAAAAATAAAGCATTGTGCATTAGGGCTGATAACCCCAGTATTATCTGAGACCCACCTATTAAGTAACACAATCAAAGGAAATACTAGTGTAATGATAACACAGTGAATTCCTAATTTCTGGAGTTGACTCATAGGTTCCTAGAGGGTGGCCTGAAGGTGGTGGTAAGGTGGGATTGGAGGAAGGTGATAGGTAACTGGATTCTTTTAAGGCTGGGCAGGAAGGTCAAAGTCTAGTGGTTTCCATATAAATTAATGAAACTTACTTATACCAGGAATTGGAAAAGCGAGGTGATGGTGAAAAATCAGATGAGGAAAATGAAGAGAAAGAAGGAAGCAAAGAGAAAAGTAAAGAAGGTGATGACGATGATGATGATGATGCTGCAGAACAGGAGGACTATGATGAAGAAGAGCAAGAGGAGGTAATAGTCCATGGGGAGAGGAGGGTAACAAAGTTATTAAGCCTAAGGATTATCTAATGAGGAGTCAGATATATAGGCAACTTTGTATATAGAAGTCTACAACTTAAGGAAATTGATCAGATTAATGCAATTAAGATTTATCAACATAAAAGTTTAGGTCAGCAATTAAGATGAAGGAGGGTTTAGTCATATAACTCTAGAGAGGAGTCCCTGCAGTGCCACCCTGTTCCCAATTCTAGAGTGCATGTGGACACTATCAGAGAACACTGATAACTTAACCTCAGGTATCTGGCTGAGTCAGGACTCTGTTTTGGATTTGGGGTTTCCAACTTTTAGAAACACGGTGCATTTCAAAATAACCTGGAATCAATCAAGGTTTTTTTGAGCAGGGTAACTTTGTTGGTCACAGCCCCTTTGGGACTTTGTAGACATGTAACACAGTGACCAAGAGTTTCTTCTCTGTTCTGGTGACTTTTGTCTTCACTCCATTCCAGCTTCTTATTCCTTACTCTGCATCTTTGCTTCTCCTGAAACTACTTCAACTATGAAATTTTTATTATGTGCTTTTAATTATTTTACATTAAATGTTGTATTCCTTTGAAATTTACATTGATATAAAGGGAGACATATTGATTTTATATCTGTTTCCAAATGGCTAGCCAGCTGCCAACTTCATTTGTTAACTAATTTGCTTTCCTTATAATTTGAAATTTTTTCCTTTATCACCTATTAGATTCCCATATCTACTTAGATGTATTTCTGGACTCTGTTCCATTGATTTATTTCTGAACCAACACTAAGCTGTTCCAATTAATAGAAGCTTCTGATTATTCATATTTGTAGGGCATGTCTTCTCTGCTACCCTTCTTTTTCAGAATTTTCCTGAATATTCTCTGTTTATTCTCACAAATTTTAAGTCTAAACATTTAAAATTAAATATATCGCATTTGTCTCCAGCTTTCTTTTCAGATCATTCTTTTTTATTCCCATTGCTTTCTGACATGATTGAGACTGTCAGTACTTCTGATCCCCTTTTTCCCCTTTATTGGATACCTGTCTTACTTTTATTTTCTAAGGAACCTAGACCCTTGCACACCCTTCATGCTCATTCTTGCCATTACTCTTGTCCTCCCAGCACACACTCTAGACCAAAGAAACCTTTGATTACTACTGTGTCTGCCTCTTTTTCCCTTCAAACATGCCTATCTGAGCATTTCTGAGGAATCACCAAAATTGATGCCACTAAACACCCCATTTTTCTGGCTAACATGTTTTCTGTTTCTCGTTAAGTTAGTTTTCTACAGCAGTTATTTTAGATTATCTTCTTTCTTCTTAATCCCCCTTCTTTACCACCTTTTCTTTCATTTTATCAGGTGATAGCACCTTCATACAGAAAATGAAGCCATCACAAGGAAACTCCTTTAATTTCATGTTCTCTGCCTTCAAACTCAGTGTCCCCCCTGCTTCTCTTTTTTATCAGTGAAAGGAATCTGCTTCATGGTATTTGAATATGCTTGGAGGAGATGTTCATGTCTAAAACCCAAGTGGCATATGCTTGATTTAAAATACTTGAGTATCCCTTCTTTATTCATTTCCACTTTTATATACAGCTTGGCTGGCTTATATTTCCACACCAATGTCCCTGCCAAGGTCTCATTTATAAGGTGGCCTCATTTGAATTCTCAACCATGCCACCTCTCCCAGGTCCCTGGCTTTAGCCAGGTTTGTAGACATTGCTGGATTTCTTAGCACCATGGAAGCCAGGCCAACTTTCTGGAGCTGGGAAGGGTCTTATCTAGATGCAGAAACTTACAGTATTTAGGGAAGACAGAGTAATGAAATACTATCTGAATAATGTACATTACCCTTGCATTATTTATATATATTTGTAAAATCCCACCATCCAGATATTAAAAAAGAAAACCTTGAGGAAAATAATAAGGTTTGATATTCAGGAGACTTTCCTTTGAGAATATTATTTTTTTTTTTACTGTAGACAATAGAGATGTGAATATTAATTTCTTATTATGGCATATTTCAATCATGTACAAAAATGTAGTGACTAGTAAAATAAAGACCCATGGACTTATCACCTAGCTTTAACAGTAATCAATTTATAGCCAGTCTTTCAACCACTCATTCATACCCAATTCCTGCACGACCCCCCACTTCTACCTTCCATCTGCTTTGGATTATTGTAAGGCAAATCCTAGGCATCATATTGTTTCATCCATGGAGTCAAAAATAAGGAATCTTTAACAACATCACTCATTATTATATCTCATACAATGAAATAAAATTCCTTAATATCAGCAAATATGGAGGCAGTGTTAAAATTTTCGTGATTGTCTCAAGTCAGTTTATTTTTTCTAATCAGAATCCAGATACACTCCAACTGGTTAATAACTCTTAAATTTAATTTATATCCAGAAGGGATTTTTGAATTCTTGGTAGAAAGCACAAATATCTTCTGAGGCATTCACAAGGCTGAAAGTCTTAGCCATGAGAAAAAGAAACTGAGAGGCCCCAGACAGGATGTATTAATAATATGGGCATTCTCTAGATTTGGTTTGGTATCATGAAGTCTTTCTTTTTTTATAGAATGCAAAAGTCCCTCTACTTATGCTCAATTATGCTTGGTGACTGAAAGCCTCAGTTCCGTTGTGGTTTAATGAATGTTACTGTAAACACTTTGTTTCTTGAGTGTCTCCTGCATTTGGTGGAATAAATGTTTAATGGTTTAGTAAAGTGAACTATGTATTATCCCACTAAGGTGTAATGTGGTAGTACATGTATCTTCCTACCAAGATGAAATGGGCAGCCCTTTATGTTCTCTTAGCTAGCTGATGCCTGAGAATAGTAGGAGGTGGTGGTCTTGAGGAAGAAAGCAGTACAGGTAGACGTGAATGAAAACTATTATGTTTTTTTAAGCAGGTAAAAGAGCAGAGACTTTTCTTTCAAGCGTGGTATATTTCCTTTTAATCATTCATTTTAATGTTTATGGAGAAATGTATCATTTCGTTTAGGAAAATGACTACATTAACTCATACTTTGAAGATGGAGATGATTTTGGCGCAGACAGTGATGACAACATGGATGAAGCAACCTATTAGGCATGAAATTTCTCAAAAAATATTTCTATGATGCAACTTCTGAGCATTTGGACAGACTTATTTTCTATTTTATTTCTGATAAGGAATGAGTATTTTATTTTTGTTCCTGTTTTGTTGGACAAATATTTGTTACCTAAACACTCAGAACCACTTTGAGTTTACATACCAGTTACCTTACAAATTAGTCTCTGACACTCTGACATTCCTTCTAAACACCTCCGCTATCCCTCTTAGGTGCTTTAGTCGTTGTTTTTTGGTTTTTCTTTTTGTACCATTTGGATTTGAATGTGCCTAAAGAATTTTTGCATCTCAGTCTGTATATTCATACTTGAAAAAATCATTCTTCTTTAACTGCTGATCTTTTGTAAAACTATTACTAGTCATTAGTCATGGATTTCTATAATCTGAAAATTGATTTAATATAGCACATGGAGCACTTTAAAAGCAAAAAAACTTGAAAATAATTTTATTTTTTACTTTTACATGGTATGTTCTATACTACTACATTATGACTACATAAACCTACTTGAGCTCTTACAAGTGCAAATTTATGAAATTAGAGGTTTTGTGATCAAAAACATACAGGGAAAAAAGGCCTAACTGAGCTATATAAATTTCACAGCTCACATCTCAGCCAGTACAAAGAAACACTCATGTGGGATGAATATTATAAATACTTGAATTTGGGCTTAGTACCATACAGTATATGAGTTAATGATCCCACTGTAATAAGTTGAGTTCTTCAGATAGTTGGACTTATGAAAAATTAGGCTGAGATATCTTATTTTGTATTCACATAAGTATAGAATAAGTGGAATAGGTTCTGGTCATATAAATATCATTGCAGAATGCATGTGTGTGAACTCTGTGAGGTGTAGCAGCCTCTATTTCAGAGTACTCATAAGCTGTACAATTGATTTATATAATCATGTAGAATAAACTCAGGTCATTTGAACTTAAGAGTAATCTTTTTTGTTTAACTTAAAAGCTAGCTCCCCTGCCTTTTTATATTTTGGGGGGAAAATACCTAAAAACCTCAGCCTACAAAGACTCTCACAAATGCCAAAGATTTTCAAGGAAATCAATATTATAGATTTCAAAAATATGTGTAATATTATCCACCAGAATAAGAAATTTTATTTTCCCCTTTGGCAGATTTCACTCATGACCCTCTAACTGGGAATCAGAGTTCTAGACTCTATTTCTACTTGTACTATTAAACTCAACTTGAAACTGAGATTGGTTAAGTTTCTGTGCCTTAGTTTCTCCACTTGTAAACAATTTCCTATAAAAATTGTTTAAACACCAACCAAAATTACCATATGTATTCATTGTCTTACAGAAACGAATCATTTCTTAATTTAAATTAAAAAACTTTCCAAACTAAAAACTGTAGTTTGGAAAGTAACTGAAAATACACTTTTGAGAAACAAACATGTTTTCCTCACAAAAATATTGTAATCTGATTTTCCCATCTTGTTATTTGTGGGGAAAATTGGAGATAATCTGTATTGTCTGTGGCCGTTTACAACATGACATTCTCAGGAAAAAGACCACTTTCAATGGCAATACTTCCTCAAATAATTCAAGATGAATGTGAGGACCCATCTTATACATGAATAAGTCTACTACTTTAAAGAATCAATCTACTATACTTAGAATAGAAACCTCCTATAAAGTTGTCATTTGAGATTGTCATTTGAGTTAACCGTAGATGTTTTATTCTCTCACTTTAGTACCAAAGGCAAATAAATGCCATGTAGTTCTTAGAAATCTCACCTCTACTGTTTTATTTCCTTTGGGGATAACCACTTGAATCAGGCAAATACACTGAAGGTAAAGGTATTTCTTTTCCTAGCTTTTAATTTGTCTGACCATTTTAATCTTGCACATAGTAGGGCAGCCCCTTTGGGCAAGGATTTACTCTGGGAAGCCCCAGCCATCTCCTTTAAGCACATTCTTCCCCCCTTTGGAATACCTTTTTACAATTTTAAAGTATACTGATTGTGACAACAGGCAGTATCTACAGATTGCTTTACCAGCATGAATCTTATTATCCTGGCTTAAAATCTGAGACTGTAAAGTTATTCTACAGGAAGCTAAATGTTACTTTGTAGAGATAGCCTCATAGATTCATATATATATGTGTGTGTGTGTGTATATATATATATATATATATATATAAAATGTACTTGGAAATGTCTTTAAAATTGCTGTAACAAGCAAAACTGTTTGGTTCCTATGTTTATTTTTCTGTGTTTACATATTAAATTCTTACAAAACTGTGTGCTTGTGTTTTATATTAAGATGTTTTATTTTGAACTTAAATATATATCTATTTGGTAGAGAAAACTGATTTGTTAACAGATTTTACCTAGTATTTATTGAACAGAGATGCCTGTATCAAATTTCCTTGAATTCTACCATGAACAAAACTCTAGGTATGTGATTATGAAAAAAGTTGTGATAACAAACAAGATTTGGCAGACAGTATAATATTAGTAGGATTATTAGAGTCTTAGACTGACATACTGGACACCAAAGAATGCTAAGAAATTCAGGGGAGTCTTGTTAACCTTTCCTTCCCTCACCATCCTCAAATGTACAGTGTCAATATCTTTATTTTAATATGGTTAAAATCTGTGGCAAAAATTTCCTTTTTTATAAAAAAAGTTGTAAACAATTTAAACATCAAAATGCTTTTAAAAATGGAAAAAACAAAGATTATACCAAAAATTCCTCCATTAAATAAAAGAACTTTCTCAATTATTTCTGCTATTAATAATTTTTTAAAACTAGTATCCTTGAGGTAGACTTTCACAATAACTTAAAATTTACATATAAATAAAGCAGCTTACATGATTGATCCGTAACTTCATAACAATTCCTGGACCATTTCTTACTAGGTCTTCTTCTCTGAGGAAAGTCCCCCAAACTACATATATCTAAAATTTGTTTTATTTATGTCCAACAAATAATCCAGTGGATTTTGTTTCAGTGTAACAAGTGACAAATCTGAATTGTAATGTGCTCTATTTTACATAGTATCTCTATATCAAATAGTTTGAAAGTAGAGAAGTTCGCTTTATTCAATTAAATTCACGGGCTTCCACTTTAGATTGAATATTAAAATAGAAACTTTATTAGATTTTGCAGATCTTTTAAAATTTGAAAAATAAGGGGCAAACGTTTTAAAAAACAATTGTACAGATGCACATGCTAACATAATGTTCTATATTTACATTTAAGATTTGTATACATTATACAAAAGATTTATAGGTTTTGTATACATAAAAAGAATTAAAGCATTCAGGTATTTCTATGATCTACCAGTGCAATATGCACATACTTGGAAGAAAAATACTGATTTCCTGAGCAATACTGTTGTAATTCAAAACAAGAATGAATCCTATCATAATGTATCATTTAAATAAAGACTTAAAAAACTCCTTTACCCTATAACACTGATTGGATCCTTGCTTCATAGTATTTCTTAAACAAATTGTATTTTTCATATTCCAACTAGGTAGTTTTATAAATAGATATTACACAACTAATTACTAAGTAGTGGTTCATTTAAAGAACTCTTCAGGCCACTGAACAAGCAGGTAGAATCCAGCAAAAGAAAAGCTATAAAAAAGTCCTCCAGAGGAGGTAACATTACAGTCTTCTAATTCTTAATGTGGATAGCAGACTCTGCAACCCATCTTAATATGTCTTTTGAAGACATGAATCTCATAATTTTCTAGGAGATGGCAATGTAAATGGCATCCATTAGTTAACCATGTCTACCCAGACTTAAAAAGAAAAAAAAAAAGAATCTGCCCTAGTAAATGGCATCCATAGTTAACCATGTCTACCCAGACTTAAAAAGAAAAAAAAAAGAATCTGCCCTAGAAATATCAGATTTTTCTTCATTTGCAACACCAAATTTTTAAGTGAACCAAATGCAGTGATTCTCAATTACTTTTACATTTGCATATGTGCCCACACACAAAAATGTAAAGCCTCAGAGTAAATTAAAAATAGGGGTTTCAACACAAAACAATGTCAAACAATATGTGCTTGTTATTTAGTTATACAAATTCATTTGCATTTGCTATAAATTGAATGTATTTAGTACTTTTTAAAAGCTAAAAGTATTCTAAATGCTTACAAAATTCTTTTCAACAAAGATTAGATCTATAATTCTATATATATGCCATATAGAATTATGTAATTCATATTCAGTTAATTCAAAAATATAATTCAAACAGGAAAAGGAAACTGCCTGATTGTGTCATAAGGATATGTTTTATATTTCCTTCAAAAAGGATACTCTGTGCCATACATAAATGATTTTTAATCAACAAGTACACAGTACGCCTCATTACTTTAAAAATTAAGTTACTTACTTTGGAAATCAGAAACCTCCAATCTGAATTGCAAAGTTCAACTAGAAAAAGGAATCACTGACTCTGTAATTTCATCAATTTGATGTAAACAAATTTCTTCAAAGGATACCTAGCCTGTTCTATCCTAAAATAATCTGCATTTTCTTCCTTGAAACTTGATTTTTCAGCAGGCTTAATAAATACAACGTAAAGTGACCAGTTAACACTGAGCCTAAGTTATATCACACACTTTTCAAGATGCCCAAAGCCCATTAAAACAACTTTTTAAATGTTTAAGAAATTTACTCAAAGAAACAAATTGCAACTTCCCTATTAAACACTTTGTGGAAATTGTCTAGGGTCCTCTCATGCATGCAAGAACTTTAATGTTTGACTTCTTTATCCTTTTAATGATGCTTTTCTCCTGAAAGTACAAAAAACCTCATTTATCATAAATATTTATTTATTCACACCATTTTGTATCAAGATTGGAACTTGAAATATAAAATGACTGATTAAAAGGCTGAAACATTAAAAATTAGGAAATAATGCCCAGAAAATGAGGTGGTATTATGTATCTTAAGATATATACTTTATTATATACAAAACAGGCGATCCAAACTCCACCAAATCTTATTTCTATTGAATCACTTTGGTTACATTTTAAAACACATACTTTTAAAAATTAAACAATGGAGTCGTTATGCAAATGCTTCTTATTTAGCCATACTGCGGCCGATTCATAGCAGATCTTAAAAAGTGGCCCTTTCAACCAATCCATACCTCTTTGGCCTCTGTTACCCAATTTGATGCTATAATGGGAAAAAAAAGAAGTCTAAGTTGGACAAACTCTCTTTGAAAAACAGAGGTTAAGGCATCAATAAATAAAGCAATTTGTCTGCTACTGCTAATGCAAAAGGCCTCTCTTATTTTTGTTTAATGAACCATTTTCTTCAACAGACCCCAGAAGCAGACAATAAAGATTTGTTTTGACCCAATTAACTTGTGCTTGATACTGAAGATGAATTTATATAGCCTATGTAATGAATCCGATTGGGCCATCTGAAATAATGCAGAATTTTAATTTCAAAACTTATATTTACTAAGAAAAAGTAATATAAGGCATTGAATGTAATTAAGGCATGTTACCGTATGTAACAGCAAGGATTTATCACAGTATGTAAGGAATTATTTCCTAAATAATGCTAATCTGTACATGTATAACACTTTTTATCAAACTACAAAAGTGCTTTTAAATATCAGAGGCAAATATAATCGCTTTAAAAACAGAAGCAGAGGTGAGGTTAAAAAAGGGTCTATCTTAAAGAAAACACTCTTTAAGAGACAACAATTACCTTTAGGTCTTGAACTATTCCAGTGTTCTAATGACTAGATGGCAACTTCCCAACCATAACACATTATTTTGGGGACTTAAAACAATCTATTTGTTAGCCTCTGTTACACAAATCATACATTATGTTCCAATTTCTGTTTCTGCTTACGCTTTCATAGCACGTGCTAAACATGTTTTTAAAGTTTCAAAATGGTGTGTTAAGTATGTGCTATCATAAATAATTTTAGAATCAAATTTTTTTGCAACTAAATATTTTGGTGGTTCACAGTAGTACATTTTTTTTCAGTTGCAGACATCTGATGCTATCATTATTCTGCTTCACAAATTTAACATTAATAACCTTCAACTAAAAATACTTAAAAAAATAAAATTTAAACATAACTAGTCTTGAATAAGAAAAATGACAAATCTTCCAAGAACTTCCTAAGCACACATTTAAATTCATTTCTGCTTTAAGCACTGATACACCAGATTTATGGAATGACTGCTCTCAACATCAACCACCAGAACTGTAGAGATTTTATACACAATCCACCTGTAAATGGCTCAAAAACTTTTCAAAAGGTAAAAAGCAAAAGCATCTTCGATTTCCCTAAATTCTGCCTTTGAAGTAGTTATTGAATATAATTGATTCAACACATTCCAGATATACACACGTGATCACTAACACTGTGATCATGAGTTAATTGCTATGTTTTGTGTTGAGCAGCAGGTGAATGAGAATCTTGACTATACAGTTTATGATCATCTTGTTGGCCAAAATGTATTCCTTTAGTTGGAGCAATTCCATTTTCCATTTCTCTCTGCTGTGATGGGGGTGTGATTCCTGAATGTAAATGTGAAGAGTCCACTGTTGAATGGTGACTAACATCCACCCTAGCTAAAATTTCATAATACAGCAAATAAAACACTGGCGTTATTATACCCACTATCAGCATTATCACTACAGCTGTCCACCACCCTATTCCCCAGTCTGCTCCATAATAGGGATCCTTACGTGGAGTGTTTTTGTTATCAGGTTCAAAACGTATTTGTTGTGCTGTTAAAGCAGACACTACCTCATTAAGGTGCTCTCTCTTGTTGTCTGTACACTTTACTATTTGTTCTATGTCTCGGTCTACTTCTTTTAAAAAGCTACCAGCTGACTCAGTGGAAGAAAGAGAATCATTAGCTGACAAAATTTCCTGTTGTTCTGCAGAGTGCTGAACAGATGAATGACGTGAAGCCTGTCTTCCTTTTGGAGGATAAAGTGTTTCAGTCAAGGAACTAAACTTTTTTACTGGAATTTTGATAGACCTAAGGGCAAAAAAGTCTTGATCGCTGATCAGATTGTTAACCCTCTTGATATCTGCTACCTGTGTAAAAAAAAAAAAAGCAACATTCAACTGAATTCTAAATTAAAATAGAGCAACACTCATTCATCTCAGTTACTTCCAAAGGAAAAAAAAAGTTGAGCTGAAATATTAGGTGGATTAAGCTACCACATCCAGAGAGATTTTAATTTTATCTGTAGATGAGAATTCTACACCACTTTTGATCTACCAATCTTAGGAAATCACCTACTTTTTACAATCACCCATATATTAGTAACACTAATGCTAGCCATTTAAATATAATAGATTCTAGTATCCTTTGCTGTTTTCTTTTGTGCATCACACACAAATACTACAGTTCTGCTGCTTGTAAACAATTTGTGAAGGATGGATTATAGATATTTATGTTCTTTATTCCAATTTGACAATTAGAACATAGGCAAATGTTAACTTACCCAACTAAAACCACCATATTTTATCAAAACTAAGATGCCATCGACTCTGAGATACAGCATTATTTTATGTATCTCTAAGGGGGAAAAAACCAAAATGCCACCAAATATATTGAAGATGCCACCATTCAATTTCAAATATATTAAAATGTGTGGAAAAACATAACCTTTTGAATACAATATGACAATTTATCCCCCTGACTTGTCTTCTGAAGCTGTTTTTCCCCAAACTTCAGTGTAAATACATTATTCAACTACCTTCAATTATCAGTCATTTTTATAAGCTTTCCCAATACATATTATATATTCTTCTGCCTGTTTGCATACCCTAGCCACTGTAGGACATACTTGTCTGTATATCCTATGTCATTTTGATGGGAGAAGAGGGGACTGTTTCTCAGGTTACCAGTCAGGCTCTCCCACCACTTTTATTAGTCCCAGTCATCACTTCCATTAATGCCTTGATCAAAGCCCTTCCTAATCATGTATCACCTGACTGACATCAGATGGGTTAACTGCATCTAGGATGAAAGATTTCTGGTTTGGTCAACTCCATGGATGATATACCATTCAATTCACTAGACATGGAACACTGTAGAGGTCGACGAGAAGAGGATAAATGGAGATGTTAGACATGTTGGCCTTGAAGTACTTGAGATACACAAGTAGAAGGTGTTCAGTAGGCAGTTGTAGGTATGTCTGAAACTCAGAAGTATGATCTTGGCTAGAGATACAGATTTGTGGATTATCAGCAAAACTGAAGTCACAGAATAGACAGATTTACTAGAAAAAGATCAGGGGAAAAGGTGACAAAAATCTCGGAGAAATGCCAACATTTGAGGGGTATGTTGAAAGAGAAATCCACAAATGAGATTAAGGAAGAGTAGCCAGAGAGACAATACAGGATGGTGGTTAAAAGCATGGATATCTGGGTTTGAAGCACAGTTCTGACACCTTCTAGCTGTATGATCTGGGGCAAGCTGTTTAACTTCTTTGTCCTTCAGTTTTCACACCTGTAAAGTGGCAGTAATAAAACTATCTACCTAATATGATGGGATTATTAAGGAATTAAAATGTACGTAGAACACTTACAACAGTGATACACAGTATGTTATATAAGTGTCATTATTAAATATTAATAATAGGAAAGCCAGAAACCTGCAGAGTCAAGGTCAAGCAAAGAGGGTTTTTAGGAGGAAGTAGTGAACAGAATCAACTGTAGATTAGTGATCAAGTACAAAGAAGACTGAAAGAGATCAAATTGAAAAAATTCCCTTGGAGTGTTTACGTGGGGAGATTAGGGGGAAATGATTAAAGAATAACAAGATTAAACAGTAACGATAAAGGGTGCCTTGTCACCTTACTACCTTGACACTGTTTTGTCTTAAAGCAAATGAAGATTCACTGATAAGCCTCAAAGCTTGATTGCACTCTCTGAATGCTCTTTTGCTTGGTATTGTATATTCTTACTAATAACTATTCAATACTGTTTCTGAACAGGCTCTCAAGGTTTAGTTTCTACCTAGGTTCTCTCTCTAAATATCCCTATAATGTTTTCTATGTTATGCTAACTTCCTTGGTTGCATTCAATATTCCAACCTTGGACTTTTCATTTGTCTCATCACTGTTTTGTAACAGTTATATTTTTGATAACTCTAAGACTATAGGTAGAATACAGCACTAAATATTTACTGTATTTTAAAATGATGATAAATGCTTTTGTAAGGTCAATCTTTTTTTGCTAGTTGGGCACCCATCAAAAGGGAGCACTGCTTATCTTAACTCCTGAATTCTGTTGTATCAACTTTCCCATTACTGTGGCCAATGCCATCTCTTCTCTAATGTTAAGCTAATCACTTTCATCATTCTTCAACTCAAATAAGGAATCAGCTGATATATACTGTGATTTCCACCCAAATACATTTTTCTATCAGCTTCTTCTCTATCCTTATCACAAATATTTTAGTCTAAGCTCTGATAATCTTCATTTGAATTATTCCAATAATTTCTTTATTGGATCCCCTCCAACTCACCAGCAGGCTACTTCACCATTTTGCATCACTTCCGGTTAAAACCTTCCAATAATGGTGTTCTCTTACTATATCGATCAAACTGTTCCTCAGTTGTCTCAAAGAGTTTCATCCCAATCAGTCTGTGCTACTCGTTTCTGAAACCTCTATTAAAACTCCTTTTGTTGTCCACCTTATTTCCTCCTTGAAATCTTCTTCATTCTACTGTCACATACCTGAAATACTTTCTTCTTTTCATTTCATTGGAAATATGACCTATTTTTAATCATTCAGATGGCATTTCAAATTTCCCTGCTAAGAGAATTTTCCAGGTTCATTTTAGAGGAAAGGTAACATCTTTCATTAATAAAGTTGCTGAACCACACTCTTTTCTTGAATCTCTACCTTGCCTCTCATTTTGAAGTCTTAATTCCATTATCGACTTTCTAAGACACATTCTGTAATTTCTCAGTGATCTTATTTCTCTACAAAACATGTATTCACATGCTTATTTGCATTAAAAATGAAATTAAATATTTTTTGATTTAATAAAGACACGAATGATGTTACCATACATTAGCAATTGTTTTGGGAAAACCCAACTACCTATAGCTTATCTTACTCCATCAAAAAATGAACATCAATAAAATGTTTTATTAAATTTTTAAAACAAAATTTGTAATATATTTGATGAATTGTGAATAATTGCAATAATTAATTTACTCAGAAAAAAAACAATACCTAGAACCATATGGCCACAGAAAATTTTTTTAAAAACTCAATTTTAAATATATAGACACTTATATAAACTCATAAAGATGTACAAGTGCCTATTGCAGAGAAGTATGACAGGCAGTCATAAAAGGTTCTCAAGTATAAAAATGTTTTACATTATGAAAAATTTGGGGGGAGGATGAAAATATTAAGGAGAAGAAGGAATGATATAAAATTTCATGGTATTAAAAAGAGCTCTAATATACATATATACATATATATTTTTAATAAAGACTTCAGGTAACAAATCCTAGTGGTATTAAGAATTCTGTATATGCATTTAATGAGTATCCTAACAGTCTTATTTAAATGTCAATACTGACAACATTCTGGAAATTATATCCTTTGTAACTATTTTAAGTCATCAGGAAGTATTTTTTCCATAAAAGTATGCAAGGAAGTAGACAGTAAGTATAGTTCAAAATCCTACTGGGAGTATGCGAAAAGTTTGAAAACCAATGTTCTAACCAGTTTTCATATCAATGTGTTTATATGAAAACATATTCTGCTAATGATGCAATATGGATATAATGACACAGATATAAAATGGGTTCAAACAAGCAGAATTTACTATCTTTTAAAATTAAAAATGCACCACCTTTTATCTAGCAATCTGACTTTTGAGTGTCAATCTAACAGATATTTAGGCACACCATTTAAAGATATAGTTGTGATGATATTCACTACACAATGTAAAACACCAAGAAAATCCTGACTATCCATGAGTAGGGAATGGCTTAATAACACTGGTATATCCATACAATGGACATTACAGCTGTTTAAAATAATGAGTTAGATCTGTAAGGCTATAAGGAATGGTCACAAGGGATGTCCGTGATATACTAAAGAAATGGAAAATGTAAGCTGCAAAGTAATATGCATAATACATAAAGATTACCAGCCTCCTACACAAAAACAAAAAAAATATGTATCTCTAAGCACAAAAAAAAATACAGAAAAAAACACATCAAAGTATTAACACTGGTTATCAAAGGAAATTGAGACAGGGAAACACTTTCCCTTACATATTTCTATATTCTCTTACTATTTGAGTAAGAAGAAGATAACATACTTGGATTTTTTCAATACTGAAGATAGAATTATGGATTTGGACATAAATATTCAAGTATTCACTTCAAATTTTAAAAAGTAACCATCTACCAACATGACACAGATTTCTATGCAAAGAAGAAAAAAAGGCAAAAAAGGAAAGAAAGGAATAAATAAGATAAAAGGACATGGAATTTACTTCAATGTGGGCTGGGCTAGTAAATAATTTATTCTGGACTGCATTATGTAAAATTAAAACTCACCGTACAACAGTACTGAAGGGCTATTGCATTTAAAGTATCTCCTTCTTGTACATCTTTTGTTAATACTATAATGTCATCAAGTCTATCTCTTGATGTACTTCTTCGGACTTTCTCTTTTCCTCTGGATCGAAGCTCATACACTTCAGCATCCTCCTCCAATGTCTCAGTGTCTGTACAATTTCCAAATGCATGTATTTGAGCACTCGACTGAACTCCTGGAAGAGGAAAACTACGATTCTGATGCCTTCCTGCCATAATGTTAAAATCTGGAAAGAAAAAACACAAACAAAAAAACAAAGCAGAGAAAACTTTGGAATGTAGCTGATCCATGTTACTGACTTACATGTATCTTACTTTCAGGGCACTTAATCTTGTGTGTTTTTTAGAGAATGGTTTTAGTTATTTGAAAATTCAGGTTCAATTTTTATAACGGTTGAAGTACAACAATATTTGGCAGGGAGACAATGGCATGGGAGAAAGAGATAATCTACTTTTAACAGACCAAAAATCACAAAACATGTGGGAGTAACTGCATTTTAACAAAGGAAATTTTGACAATTTTGTTTAGGTAAAAAAATTAAGTTCCCCTTATTCTGAATTATGTGAAAAAAAATCAGAAATAATTTTGTGTTATGTCTTAAAAATTTGTGATGGTATATACAACTACAGTTCTGATGAAATCAAATTATGTTTTATACACATAATATTTTTAAGAATTCAAAACTTTCTGGCTTGTTCTTCATTATAAGTTCATGAAAGATTGAAATATCTATGGCACTATTAAGTTCTGGATCATGGTGACTTCAGTGTTTATATTATAGTATGTGCCTTTTATAGAGGTTATAATTTTGCTCCTAACCAGGGATTTTTCTTCCCTGGAAGCTTTTTACCCAACTTAAGTTAGAGTCTTCATCAAATTCAATTTATGGTCCATAAAGACTGTGAACAAATTTTAGATCACTTTGTTCATTTATACTTCAGGAAAAAACATTGTAAGGCTGACTGAGAGCTGACCTAAGTTAAAAATACACATCAATGAATACTTTTCATTTACTTGCATACTCACTTTCAACTCACCATCAAGTTCATCTATTCTCATTAAAAAAGAAAACAGGAGCCTAAAAAACTAACTCCACATTCACTGTTTTGGCTTCATATTAATTATTCACATAAGAAAGCTTAGGTTGCTTTTAGTCACTGTTGTGAAAGATGGAGAGCAGCAGTAAGAGGCATTTTGGAGATAAAATACTTTGGATGTAATATGAGGTAAGAGAGGTAAGAAGTTATGCATCACACATACTCCTCTAAGGCAGTTTTATTTCCACTTATTTAACCAAGTCTTTTTTATCCTGTGTCTTTAACCTAGAAAATGTCTGTGAATCCTGTGGATGTGCAGGCAAATTTGTAGGAATGTGTACATTTTTCTAGGGAGAATATGTGGCTATACTGACCCAGTTATGCTGTCCCATTAGACTTTTTCTCCCTGATAGTTTGTTCTCAGAACCTCAAAATTGGCTAAGTAGTTATAACTGAAATTCACTAAGCAATGCCCAAAATCCATTTTAGATATTTGTATCAACATCTCTTCATGATATATTGCTAAATAATAGAAATAATAATAACAAAGACCAGAATCTCACCTGTCTCACTATCTCTTCACTCTCCTTTGGAATGAAATGCAAGCAGCAGAATACTGCACCACAAACTAGGTATTCAAAATAATCAAGAACTGGTTGTGTCTCTAATCGAAATGAAAAGCTGGACTCTGGCCCAGGTAATTACCTGAGCCATCTACCTAGAGATTAGAAAGTACATAATATTCAAGTCATCTGGCTCAATTCTTTTCACCTCTCAATTCTCTTAGGGCAGGAAAAAGGCACGCGTCTCCTCTTCTGAACAAACCTCCATGCTATACAGATTACAGGAGGCCACAAAAAGTATAATAATTACCAATGGATACAGTGTTCAGGCTCAGTCACTAACTGAAAATGGTTTCCCAAACACCTGCCCACTGTTTGACAGCTGTTGCCAGTGGTGGGTGTTTCGCGTTGACCCTCCTTATGAAGGCAGGGAAAAATAAAAGGGCCACAGGGCACAACCTAATTTCGCACTGGGACAGAATCACAGGGAACGGCATCCAACAGGGCCAATTTTGTTTTTTCAAACCTAATCTAACTTCCCTCCCTCCCTCTCCATTCCACATGTACAGTTGTTCTTTCCCTGTTATCCCCAGCGGGAATTAAAGCTCAGGTTTTTCTGTCACAGCATCACACTTGGACGATGCGGCGAGACACCGTAAGCTAACACCAACACAAAGTTGTGGGAGAAACGCAGTGTGTTTGGGTGGGAAATGGGACAGGTAGCAGTCCTTCCTTTGAGCCTCTGTTTCCCCGACAGTGTGACAAGTGGCCTTGGAGGGGCTGGTCTCGAGGGTCTTCCCTGTCTCGGAGGTGTCCTCCACGCGGGCTGTGTACCGAACCCTGTCCGCTTCTCCCATCACACCTGCGGCCGAAGGCTCCGCACCGCCACCAGCGAGGACGCAGCTGGGGACCAACCCCGCCCGTCGGGGCCTGGGCACCCTCACTTCCCGCCGCCATCTTTACCTGTCCCATTAGCAGGGGGCACGCAGCAAGGAGACAGCTATCAGGTCTGCCGCCACTGCTGATGTCCCCGGCCACTTCATGGCCGAGCCTCTGTTTCCGGCTGTCTCTGTCCGCCACCACCACCGCCAACGCCGCAGCCAACGCCTTTGCCTTCCGGGCCGTGCGCCGCCGCCGCCGCCGCCACGTCCGCAAACCTGCGGTGCGTCATCGCGTCAAGTGGGAGGAGGTGGGAAGGGGCGGGGGAGGAGGTAGGGGGCGTGGGCGCGAGGGCGAGCCCAGAACCCGGGGCGTCCAACCACAAGCCCACTCCCGGCACGCAGGCGCAAAGACGCCACCCGGGACAGGGGGCGGGGCCGATTCCCAGCCCCGGCCCTGACTCCTCCCCTTCGGCGCTGCGTGCTCACCCGTTGGAGAATAGCTCTGCGGTCAAGTCCGCGGGTCAGCCGTGAGAGCCCCGGCGACCTGTTGGCTGCGCCTTTGTCCAGCATCCACGCGGCGCTGGCAGACCCTGTGCCGAACGCACTGAGGAAGGGGACGGGCTGAGGGTTTGTCGAGGAGCTGTCGTGTGTTTTTCCTTGCTGTTTATTTGCAGTTTTCTTTGGGGTGGGGAAGGACATCTCAAAAGCACTACGTTCACATCCCTGTTTTAGAATATTGTGCTATGCTTATTACCCCTTTCATGCTGAAGCTTCCAGACTGCTGCGGGGGCAAAAGACAGGAGAGAAACGCTTATGGGGTTAAGGGGGAGTCGTTTCAGCTTCTGTGTTTATAGGCAAGGAAAGTGAGCCACCTAGAGTCAGGCCCCGGGAAATGTTTGCCCTGGAACCTCATTCTCAGGGTCAAGGAGTCAAGGCTGTCAACAGAGTGTAACCTAATTTATTTGGTTTGAAAATTAACCGAAAATCGTTGGTAGTCACCTATAGGCTCTATGACATATTAGTTTGTTAAATTACAAACTCGTGACTTCCTGTGTGATTTTTCTCCCTAATGTACTGAATGAGTATGATAATGTGTTTGTATTTATGTAAATGAACGTTAAGTATTTTAATGACGTGTCTGATGTCCCTCAGTGTTGACGTTAGAGACGTTGCACTTTAACGAATATGCCAACTCTATGACAATGTTCATTTGGGGTACAAAAATGGGATGCAGTATGCAGAAAACTTCTTTTCAAAGTGTTTGAATATTTACACATCCTGAAGCCTTTGAAGCTTTGTTTTAAATTGTTTTCAAAGGCTATGTTTTTGGTTTTCTGGTAAGTGCTTCAGCAAAGGTTAGAAATTCTGCATTGCAATATTACGCTTTTATTTGAGGGAATAGGCACTGCCTTCCACAATGCTACAAAAAGAACTGCAGAAGAAACTAAAATAAAAAATTTTTTAAATTCTTTTGGGGTTGTTCTGTGTGCTGTTGCCCTTGTGACACTCCTGTCTGTAACCATTTATCACTGAGACATTTTCTCATCAGTAGACAAAGGATATATTCCCTACTTGATATGTAGGGCTTCAGCTGCTTAGCTCTCATGAATGTTAATGGCAATACAACCTTCTTTCTGCATATAGGTTACTTTTCTTATTTTAATGTCAATAGGCAGTGGAATCCATGTGAAAGCCAAAGTGATAGAATTTCAAGCATTTCTATAGGACCGCTACCTGAGTTCTCTGTATAAATAATATAAATACTTTCTCAATGATATCTGCATGCTCTTGAATCATTATTTGTGTTTAACAAAGATTCAGTAATTAAATGTTTTACAAAAAAGCAATAATAGAATTATACTTTATTAGAATACACAAAAGAAGCAGTTAGCCATGAATTTTGGCTGAGTTCCAAAAAGCTGGCCAGTAAAAACAAACACTTTGTCTTTGAGAAAAAGGATGTCCCCAGTGCTCAGCAAAGCCAAAAGAATTTTTAGTGTTTTGAGATCTCATCTGACACAGTTTCCATAAAAAGGCTGTAGATGAAAGAATATGTAGTTTCTAGGAATATGTATTTTTGACACTAATGTTTAGGTTTTGTGGGTTGCTCCAGAGTAAAAGTTGTAATGAGAATATAAATTGATGCAACTTATTAGTAGTTTCACTTGGCAACATCTACCAAAATTAGAAATGCAATTGACTGAACTATTACATGGCTAAGTAATTATCTTAGTTTACTCACAGATACACATGTATAAGATTTAATAGATATGTTCAGGAATGTTTACTACAGTAATAGCCAACATCTGAAAATATTATAAATGTTCCTTAGTAGCTGACTGATGCTTCTGGTACATTAAAACAATGTAATATTATACTTTAGATTAAAAGTTAATTTGTATATGCTGATTTATTCATTCATTTACCTAAGAAATTTTTGTTGAAGGAAAAGTATATGCAAGACCTTTGTTCTAGGCATTGGGGATACAGTGCTTAAAAAGACAAAGTCCACTTACTCATGGATCTTGCATGACTGTAGGCATGTAGAGAGATCTCTATAATGTATATTAAAGATAAAAAAGTAAATTCCTATATAGAAGGTATGCTGTTATTCTTTTGAAATAAAATTTTAAATGTACATATCCTACTCTACCCCCAACACACTCCCTCCAACACATGTTTATATTACCATGCAGGTAGATGCATTTAATTTTTTTTTCTGGAAAGTTATTCAAGGAATTTTTAGCAGTGGTTGAAAAGGATTAGATGTGGCAGGGAAGTAGGCAGGAGACTTTACCTTTTCCTCTTACACCTTCCTATATAGACTGAATTTTTATTACTACATCTTTTTATTATTATTAAAAATATTAAAGCTGAACACATTTTATTTTTTAAATAACTGGACTTGTTTTCTCTAGCATTTTCCTATAGTTAACCATACATCCTTTAATTATTCCTGGGTCTGTTTGTATTAACGTGGCAAATGCCTGGAGAAAAGAACCAGATCAATTCTCTTACAAATCAAAAAAACAAAGGTAACAAAACTTATAATTCTTTTTACATTTCTTCTCGATTTCCCTGTCTGATTTCTTTCAGCCCTGCTCTTTCACTCTCTGCTCCTTCCTATATCCTCTCATCAGCCTTTTCTTTCCAATTCTATATTCCAGAAGCAAAACTTGGAAGAACTGTTGTACCATAAGGAAATATTTGATCTCAAGTGAATTTAAAATCGGATTATGGGGATTAAAAACTTACCTCACTTCTGATCTTCAAACGATCTATATAGAGAGAAAATTATTGTGTCTCTTCTCTAGAAATCTTGAAAAATAACCAGACTGTATGATTTAGATATGTTCTGGTAGCAGATGTACCAGATGACCTCCATAGTTGCCTTTTACCCTATGATTTTTAAGCATAGTGATTATTATAATTACAGCTATGCCATAATATGGATACAAGAAGAGTTAGGAATCTAGAGGTGCTCATAAATGCTAGTAAGTAATTCATGGACATTAAATATGACTTGAAAATAACCATCACCAATGTCTTTCTTCATACAGACATTGTTCAACTAACTGTACAAATACTATTCTTAAACTCTTCAGCTAGGTAGTTGGTACATGTAGAAAGGAATAGTTACATGTTTATAATTTAGTAGAATATAACTTGAAATGCTTTGTTTCCCATGGCTTTATACTCACTATGAACCTCATAGGCAAATTAGGGCACGTAAATATCCCTGGAAGCTGCAACCTGCTTGTTTTTGTGCCTACTCCTCCAAAGACCTACGATGGTCACACAGAATTCAGTTAAGTCTGAAAGGAAAACATTAGGCATGACCCAGTCTATGGAATTGGCTGAGGGTAGATGGTGATCACCCAGAAGCGGAGAGCAAGTCAAAATGGAGTCCAGACTGTGGACATCCAGTTAGACTTCTTAGGTGTTCAGTAGTGCATTCACAGGGTTAAGAAGGTTCATAAAAGGAGAATGGAAGAGGCAGTAGCATCTTCTCATTCTACACTAGGTCTTTCCAGAGAGAGACCACGTGACAATCCTCAGCTTACCCAATTGTATCTGAAAAACCAAGAAGTTCAAAAGCAAAACTTCCGTACTCATATAAAGAATAATAGAGTAGCAAGGTATACTACCTAAAGTGAAGGCAGCAGTACTTACCTGACAAAACACAGACGAAATTACATCTATTCATTTAACAAATATTAATTAATTAGCTAGTGTGTTTCAAGCCCTACTTGTAGCACTGGAGATATGCAGTAAACAAACAGGCCAAATCCTTGCCCCTGCGGAGCTTATATTCTTGTGGTAGAAAATAGATAAAAACAAAGTAAATAAATGAAACAATGTGTCAAATTGTGGTGGTAAGTGAATGGAGGAAAATTAAGGAGGGAAGGAGGGTTTTGGGTTGGGGGAGGATCCCACGCTATGAAAATTCTCCCTCCCTGAGGGAGGAGTTGTGCCTAGTGTATTGGAGGAACAGCAGGGGTGCCGACATGGCTGCAGCAGGTCACACATGGAGGGAGCCAAAATGGACAGGACTCCGTAGGCCATTGCAAGGACTAGGGCTTTCACTGAGCAAGATGGGAAACCACTGGAGTGCTCTGAGCAGGGGAAGACATCATCTACCTTTCAAAAGGATCCTGTAGGAAGGTTAGGGTGGAAGTAGGGAGATTAGTTAGGAGGCTATTGAAGTAACTCAGGCAAGAAGGAGGTAGGTGGCTTGAATCAGAGAGGAACACCAAATATCACATTGATTTGGATTAAAAATATTGATTTAAAAATATTTTTTCAAAGCCTCCAATTCCACGAGGATGCTCTATTCTGGTTTTAAAGATATTTTTCACCAGTTCTTTCTTGTATACTTTGATTAATGACTCTATACTTAGGGTTTCTTTTTGCTATTAACTCTAAATAAGCCAGATTTACCACTGTAGCAACTGTGGGATCTAAGTAAAGTTTCACTTCTTCCTTTTCCCATGTTTTCTTTTATTTACAGTCAAGATTGAGCTGAAAATTTTCCTCTTCTTCCCAAGCTTTAATCCTATCTGGCTTCTAAATCTCTTCAGAATTATTTGAAGCAAAGAATGCCTGCTGACTTCAAAGAGTATTTCACACTTGGACTTACTCAGTGGGGGATCTAGCAAAGAGTAGTGGAATCTTCCATCCTTTCCATGCAGAATAATGTCTTTGGCAATGGTATATGCTGATCAATGAGCAATCTGTTAAGAAGAAACATCCAGAAACTCATTTCTTTGGTTTCTTGTTTTGAAAAGTACTTA